TCGCTGATGGCGGCCTGGGACCGACGACGGCGACGAGGACGATCGACGATCGCCGAGGCTCGATCTTCGATCCTCGGATCGAGGACCCAACATCCTCGAGTCCAAGCTGGGCGATCCTCGGATCTAGGATCCAAGGTGCCTGAAGATGCTCGGATCCAAGGTCGAGGGTCCTCGATCCGAGCATCGAGGATCGAGCCTCGCTGATGGCGGCCTGGGCCCGACGACGGCGACGAGGGCGCTCGTCGATCGCCGGGGCTCGATCCTCGGATCTTGGGCCCAAGGTCCTCGAGTCCAAGCTGGGCGATCCTCGGATCTAGGATCCAAGGTGCTCGAAGATGCTCGGATCCAAGATCGAGGGTCCTCAATCTGAGGATCGAGGATCGAGCCTCGTTGATGGCGGCCTGGGTGGATTTTGCACGGCGAGATGGGGGGAGCCTGTTGGGGAACACCTCTTGCCGGAGAACTGTGCGCCCCCGATCGGGCTCGAGAGCCTGGGCCCATGTCCCCCTCCTCCGCCTTGCCCGCCTCCGCCGTGTCCGTCTTCTCGACAGTACGCTTCGCGACCAGCGGAGCGCGTTCGGCCGCGACCGCGCGGCAGCTCGGGAACTTCTTCTCGATGGTGGGCTGGAGGATGGCCTTGTCGGTGCTGCTGATCTCTGCCTCGGCCTCCTGGTCGTACCTGGCGCGCTTGGCCTGGCACGCGGCGTCCTTAGGAGCTCGTCCTCGGCGGCGTTGCGTGACTTCCTGTGCCGGCACCGCCTGACCACGGCCTCGGTGGCTCGGACGCGCTGGTCAGGGGAGCCGACGGCAAAATTCTCGTTGGCCCAGTCGAGAAACATCTTCCTGAGCTCCTCGGGCAATTCCGCGATCGCCTCGAAATTCGAAATATTGAACTGCTAACCGATCAGAAGGAGAGAGGAGACAAAGGGACGAGTCGATGATCGGCATTGATATTTCAACAACACTTGCACGTCAGCTTGGATTTAACATCGACCGGCCTTGTTTCTCGGTGCGTCTGGCGCCCACCCGCGCACTCGACAAGAGCTCGCAGGGCTTGAGGCGCTTCTCCACTGGGGCGATGAGCTCGCGGAGGGCCCGGAGGCCGAGGGGAAGCTCGCCGAGCACCGCCTTGGTGCAGTTCTCGTAGGGGCCGTTGCTCAGCTTCTTGACGGTCTCTTCGCCGAGAGGCGCGTCCTTGTTCGTGGCTGCCTCGAGGAGCTGCTGGCGGAAACCCGGCAAGAGAACGAACAGCTTGTCGCAGGTGTGGTCGTGCTCCTCGATGGCGTCGAAAGTCGCAGGTCTTCTCGTGCTACGTCTTCCAGAGGACGGCGGCGAGGAGCTCGGAGCGGCGGACGTCCTTCTCGTGGAAGATGCCCTCGTACATGACGGACTCGAGCGTGCCCACCTTGTAGATCGTCTCGAGCACCGTGCCGATGACGTTGCTCGACGACCACTAGGCGCTCGAGCCTCGGAGGTATATTCTCGTCATCCTTGAAGCGTCGGTGGCCTCGCCGCTCGTTTCTCGCACAGATGCTCGAGGCAGCTGTTGGTGATCTCCTGCTTGCGCAGCAGTTCCTTGCTGTGTTTCGGCACATCGGCGAAGAGTTCGGTCAGCTCGGCAACCTGCTCGGCAGGGTCGGTGACTCGGCGCCGGGAAGCGCCGCCGCTTCGCGCGGGCCTCGGGGCCGGCCATCCTCGGTGGCGGCGAAGTTTCCAGCTCCGGAGGGGCTCCGATGTGTCCAGCTCGGGATGCTCGGCTCGAGCCAACGCGGTTGCCGGGAGGGGGGGGGCGCGCAGGGGCGGGGGAGGAGGAGGTCCCGTGGAGGTACATATGGGGCCACGAAGTGTATGTAAGGGGTGTGCCAAACTGGGGGCCCACGAGAGGCGCGGACGCATGCGAGCACCGCCGCTGAGGCTTTCGGTGGAGCTCCCTATGGGGCCACGGACCGTGTGCCACACGTTCCTGATTCGGGAAGGGTTGGGAAGGTTAGGATCCCATAGCACGGTCACGCATTCTCGACTTGGGGAAGCTCAAATGATGAGAGTCCCATAGCGCTTCCACGCGTTCGTGACGTGGGAAAGCTAAATGGTGCGAACCCCATAGCTCTGCCACACGTTCTTGACTTGAGAAAGCTGAAATGGTGAGACCCCCATTGCCAAGCCACGCGTGTTTGATGATGTTGCTAGCCAACATAACGAACGAAATCGCAGCTTCGATCCGCAGCTCTGCTCCCCGACAAGAAAGCTCGGCCTTGCCGCCCCTCTCCCCCGACCAAACCTGCACTGGCAAGGGATAATCGAAACTTTCAGTCGTGAAGGGGGGGTCTGATTTATCATCCAGGGGTGTCGGTTACACGAGTCTTGCCTCGGCGGCGGGCGCGGGGGGGAAATGAGAAGGGGCGGGAATTCCGATGCTTCTGAGAAGTTTCCGGACTTCTGAGAGGGCTTCTGAGAAGTTCAGTTTGTGTTCGAAATAGGCTAAGGAGACCTCTCAGAAGTCCCCCGGACTTCTAGGAAGTCCCGCGGCCTTCTGAGAAGGCCTTCTCCTTCTCATTTCCCCCCTGGGCTCGTCGCCTATTGCCGCAGGGAGGGGCGGCGTGGAGCACGGACCCTGCCGCCGTCATGCCCCCTCTTGCCGTCGGCTGGGTGCTGAGCGCGCTTGCCAGGCCGCAGTGTGGCTCCCTCCTGTCCTCGGCTGCCTGCTGCCAGCAGGAGTCAGGAGGGGAAAAAACACACAGACACAATTAATCGTCGATTCCCAGGAAAATATGGGAAAATATGGGAAGTGGGGGGGAAGACAAAAACCCAGAAAATATGTGAAAATATAGGGAATGCTTTTATTTTTGTGTGTATTTATTTGTGCGTCCCAGTTCCCGTTCAAGGAGTCTCGCACTGACCGCACAAGTCAGCGCGCGCTGGCCCAGTGCAGGGCTCCGGCACACCAAGCACGACGGCCCTGGCATACCACTGGCATCGTCATGGCGGGGCGGCGTGTGTATGTCGGCCCGTGCCGGAAAGTCTTCGAGCGCCGTGCTGTCCGCTGCTGTGGCCCATGCTTCAAGCAGTGGCGAAGCGTCCTGGCGTGCCTATAGGGTTCCCGAACAGTGTTCTAAGAACCTTTTTGCGTTTTCCACGAAGTGTTCTTAGAACATTTCTGGCTGGGACTGTCTGGTTTCAACACATGGGGCTTATGTTCTGAGAACATTGTTTTGATTATCGGAACAGTTTGGGGTTCTAAGAACATCTCGTGGTAGGCCTATAGAGATGCTGCGATGGTCGGTTCATGCTCAACATGTTGCCTCTCCCCCTTCACCGTCAAGGCGCTGATGCAAGGAACACTTTGGGAATGGGAAGGGGCTCGCTGTTCCTTGGGTCCTTCCATTGTTGATCCTCTCGAGCTCCTCGCGCACCCAGGCGCTTTTTTTTCCGTCGAACACGAAGGCTCTGTTCGTAGCGCGACTCTATACAGCCCTCCTTCTCCATCCTCCCTCCACTACTCGCTCTCTGCCGACCTCTCCCTGCCTCAGACTCATCCTCCTGCTGCTACCTGCACAAGCTTTAGTACCATGGTCCAGGGAACCGTAAGACTCGAGTTCGCCGGATGTCGGGTTTGCCGACACTTTTTGGCGAGCCCGTCCTGAATGTTGATGGCCCAGGTTTCGTGGGATGTTTACAGCAGGATCCCGCGTCAACTTTCAGAATGGGTCTCGTCATTTCCCTGGCGGCCCCGTCAGGCCAACCCGAGTCCCCCGAACCCGAGTCTCACGTCTCACGTCTCCCCGAATGGCGACGCGAGGGGGTCGGAAAGGCGTGAGCCAGATGCGCAACAGTTGGAAGAAAAGGGAGAGGAGCTTGGACGTAGGCCCGATAGACAGAGCATTCAATGGCTGAGAAGCACGTGTGAACGTACGCTCAAAACTTGCGTGATACGTCTGGCGATTGTGTGCGGAATTCAGACAACACATGGCAGTCGCACGAGCACCAGGTTGAAAGCATGCGCAGCAAAGAAACATTTCAGAAACTGACACGTGAAGCGAACAGTTGCTTGGTGAGCACGTGGCGCACGTTGCGACTCACAGGGCGTGCAAGAGAACCGAAAGACAAAGTATGTGTGAGCGTAACCAGTTGTATGCCGTATGAGAGTAATTTCGTAATGACTATTCTCGTACGGCCGACCACCTGATTAAGCAACCTGCTCCCGAAAAGTTGGGCAAGCATTTCATAAACAACTTGCTGTACAGCTGGCCTCGTTTCTTGAGCACGTTCGCCCCTCCAGCATCTACAATAGAAGCTGTCCCAGGTTTGCTATAGGGAACTTCTTGGATGCTGGCCTAGGTGTCTTCAATGATATGTTTGTCGGTCGCATTCCTGGCTGTAGGTGATACGGTAGGCAGTTGATGGAACACGCATTTCGGTGACAAACCATCTCGCTTGAAGATGTTAGCACGGGCGACCGCGTACCTGGAGGAGGGCCAGGATGAGGGGCATGAGTGTGGAGGACATGCGTGCTCTACAACCTTGCCGCTGCACCGTAAACAAGCTCGGGCAGCGTTCTCTTTGTTGAGTTTGTTCGTCGTGCAACCCACGGCACCTGGTACCATATCGCGCGTCGAGTTGACGTTCTGCCACGGCATTTCTTCTGATTCACAGGTCTTCGGCACAGCGTGCACAGGAAGACGGGGAGGAGGAGGAGAAGGAGGAGGAGGAGGAGGAGGAGGAACAGGATGGCAAGGAGATGGAACATGAGAGGGAATGGCGAAGACGAGGGACCAGGGAGGCGAATGAGGAGCAGCATGAGGAGTGAGGGATGGAGCAGAGGCATGAGGAGGAGAAGGAGGAGCAGGACCACGCGAGGAGGAGGATGATGATGAGGAGGAGGAGGAGGGCCATGGAGGAAGAGGAGGAGGAGGAGGAGGAGGAGGAGGAGGAGGAGGAGGAGGAGGAGGGTCATGGAGGAGGAGGAGGAGTAGCAGGAGGAAGGATCGGCTCCGCCCCTCGAGGCGCTGATAAAGCTCGTGTACGAGCCGGGGGACCCCGACCGGCGCCTCTTGCGCTCGTGGGCGGCGAGGGGGTCAGGAATCGACTAGACGTAAGAGTGACCTTTCGCCAGAGTGACCTTCGGTGCGGGCACAGACGAGTCCCCAGATGGCTGAGGACGAAGCAGTAGCAGCTGGTTGCGCGCCCAGGTTTGGCCCCCCGCGGCCCCCAAAAAGCCCCCCACCAAAGGTCACTTTTACCCAGGGTCGCTCCTGCGTATAGCCGAAGGAAGACAACGATCGGATTGTGAGGATGGGGCTGAGAGAACTCGGGATCTTGGCTGCCCCGATGCGCAACACGCAACACGTGGCGTATTGATGCGGAGTTCAACACGCAGACTCAACACGTACGCTCTGAACACGGACGTTTTGAACATGGCACGCGTTACGCTTTAAACCGTGCGTGCCAGAGCAGCTATAAGGGAGGAGGAGGAGGAGGAGGAGGGAGGGAGGGAGGGAGGGAGGGGGAGGGAGGGAGGGAGGGAGGGAGGGAGGAGGAGGAGGGAGGAGGAGGAGGAGGAGGAGGAGGAGGAGGAGGAGGAGCAGGAGGAGGAGGAGGAGCAGGAGGAGGAGGAGGAGGAGGAGGAGGAGGAGCAGGAGGAGGATATCCTTGCCCGCAGGCGGCCGACGGTTTTCGTTCCCTGCACCCAGGTGCTGTTGCTCCTGCCGTTCACCCCCTCCCAGCCCCTGCCTGCCAACACTCAGGAGGGAAACAAAAACACACAGACACAATTATTCGTCGATCTCAGGAAAATATGCGAAAATATGGGGAGTGGGGGGGGAAGACAGAAACCCAGAAAGTATAGGAAAGTATGGGGAATATTTTTATGTGTGTGTATTTATTTGTGTGTTTGTGGGCCCCTGCCTGCCAACACCAGGGCTGGACCTCATCGGTGTTCTGGCGATTTCGTGGGGCCGTTTTCGTTTCGACTTCGCTTTGCGGTGAAGGCGGATTGGAGACAAAAAAAAACGAGGGAAAACGAAGACGAAGCGAAAACGGCAAACGCCGTTTAGGTGCAGCCCTGCCCAGCACGATATATATTTTATTTTTCTCCTCAGAAGGGGCGGTGCCCAGACAGGATCGCCTCTCGAAGGAGACCGAAACGGGCGGACGGTTCTTTGCCGTTTTCGGCCTCCAGGGGCCCTCGCTGGGCACCCGAGACCTTCAAGAGAGAGACGGCACTGGATGAAAAAGCTGCCCCGGGGGAAGAGTCGGGTTTCCCCAGCATCGGGAGCGGAAAAGAGGGGGGTGATGACTAGGGGGGGGTGGATATCATGGCGCGGGCCATGATTTGTCCTCAGATCTCATGGCGCCTCTTCTTGTTTTATTACGTCCCAGGCCCCCCCGCTGGGCCGCGCACATGCCGCCCGTCATGATTTGCACCCCCCCCTCCTGGACACCCCCCTCTTTGCCGCTCCCGACCCGTGCTGCAAAAAAGAAGATGTCGAACGTTTGGGGGTGACGTGAGATTTGGCACACCGAGAGCCTCTTGCACCCAGGGATTCTCCCCCAAAAGGGGGCGCAGGTTGGGAGGCCCGGGGAGACCGACACGCGTGTCGGGCAAGGGTGCTGGTTTCTCTTGCGGAATCGGGGTAGGACGGGGTCCCAGGCGACTGGAAGTTCTCATCCAAGGTTCTTCGATGAGTATCTAGCTGAGCGCTGCCGCGCGATGCCGCCACCGCGCTCGGGGCGGGCGACGGGGGGTGGGGGGCGGAGGAGGAGGAGGAGGAGGAGAAGGAGGAGGACGAGGAGGAGGAGGAGGAGGAGGGAGGAGGAGGAGGAGGGAGGAGGAGGAGGAGGGAGGAGGAGGAGTGAGGAGGAGAGGGAGGGGAGGAGGGAAGGGAGGAGGAGGAGGAGGAAGAATAGGGGGAGGAGAAGGCTATGGAACCCCCTTTTTTCGAACGCTGTGTCTGGAGCCGTCTTCTGCCTGGAAGGCTGGAGCCGCGCACGGGACGCGGCCGCTAACATGAGCGCATCTTGGGCTCGAGGCGTCGGGAGCCGTGTTTCAGCCGGGCGCGTCCAGGAATATCCAAAAGCAGTCCAAAAAAAATGTGGGGCACGGCTTTTTTTCACACACACACACACACACGCACACACGCACACATATATATATATATATATATATATATATATATATATATATATATATATGGCCATGTTGGAATATTTTTAACTTGAAAAAATAGTCACATACCTCCCTGTAGGGGGACACGCCCGACCCAACCGTCTTCAGTGCTCTGCAGGAGGTGAAAGGGCCCGACGCGCACCAGCCGCCGCAAGCGCGGTGGCGGATCTGTGCTGGCATGCTACACGATTAACGGAGCACGGGGGCACGAAGTGGGATGAAAGGGAGCGTGTACGCGTCAGAGGGAGCGACGGAAGAACGAATTGGGAGGAGGAGGAGGGGGAGGAGGAGGAGGAGGAGGAGGAGGAGGAGGAGGAGGAGCAGGAGGAGGAGGAGGAGCAGGAGGTGGAGGAGGAGGAGGAGCAGGAGGAGGTGGAGGAGGAGGAGGAGGAGGAGCAGGGAAGGCTGCGCCGGACCCACACTCTAGCCAACTAGCACCAGGCAGCAGGAGGAGCCGCAGGAGCAGCACGAGGAGGAGGCGAAGCAGGAGGAGGAGGAGGAAGAGGAGGAGGAGGAGGAGGAAGTGCACGTTCTGCTCGAGGCAGTCTCGCCGGTCCAGTGCCTGGTGGTCTGTGGCGCTCCGCCGCGTGCGCCGCCAGCCCTCAGGGGGAGCTTTAATCGGCCGACGCGTCGAGGAGCGCTGGGCGTACGCGCGGGCGCCTCTGCTCTACCCCACCCCGCTCCCAGACATCTGGCGCCTCGAACAAATCTCAAAGTCAAGGCAGAGCTTGTTCCTCCTTGTCGACCTTTCGGGGCCTTTCCCGGGCCTCGGGGCCGTCAACAAAAACAGCTCGAGATGGACCACCGGTCCCTGGGAGGTGGTCGAGAGGTCGGGGGCCCGCGACTCGAACAACAAATCGAGACGCCGGATGTCTGGGATCCCCTCCGCCCGCCCTCGCGCCCAACGCCAACACGCGCGAGCCGAGACCCCCCACCAGGCGGACCCGCGGCGCGAGCGCCGTGACGTCCTCCGAGTCGCCCGTTGCCCACCGTTCCGCGTCGCTGCACGGGCACGCCTCGCGCATGGGGTGCTGCTGCGGAGTGCGCTGTCAGCAGGTGGCCGGGGCACTCCACTCACGTGCAGCCCTCAGAAGCTGGAGCGGCGCCCACGTGATTATCGGTTTTTGCGCGCCCAGGCGTTTTCTTTTGTGGAGCTGGAGCCCCTGGCGCGAACGGCCGAACGACCCCCGAAGCGGGACACTCTGGCGACACGGTTGGCCGCCACAAAAATTGTCGGGTTAACGCTGGCCGCGCAAAGGCGCCCGCGCAAATTCGAGCACCCGCGAGAGACAGCGGCGATTCCTTCGGTCACCCGTAGCTCCACTGGAAGAACGCGGCCAGCCGCCCGCGCCAGCCCCCCAGGCCTGGCAACCGCGCAAAGCAGTGCGCCCCCACGGCGCCCACCGTGCGCCACAAGCAAGCGGCCCCCGCGCTGGGAGCCATGCCGGGTAGGGGACGAGTCCACCAGTACCCACCGCGCCCAGCTTTAAGTCGGGCGTGTCCCTCTACAGAAGAAATGTTCAGGAATAGTAAGAAAGTCATGCGGGGACGATTTTTTATGATTGATTTCTCCTTGAAAAGTCCTCCTGTAGGAGGGCACGTCCGACATGAGCCCAGCTGCGTGACGAACCGTGCCTGATCGTACGCTTGGGCGGCCGGCAACACCACCGAACGCCTCCACTGTTTGACAGCCCGCCTGTGCGCCTCGGGGTCCGCGCGGGCCGCCTCAAGCGAGCGCATCGGTAGGGAAGTCGCTGGTAATGCCCAGTGCTTGGACCACCTCGGCGGCGTGTCCCAGCCACGTGGCACCTGTCGTCGCCCGCGTACCTGGCACAGCTTGCACCACGGGGCTACCGCGTGGCAGCGCAAGCAGCCGCGCCCGACCGAGCACGATCCGCTGCATTAGCGTAGTACGCCACCGCGTCAGCATGCGTGGTTCTGCACATACGTACCCAGGCACACCCCGGGCCCCCAACCGAGCAGCATCCTGGCGACTTCGCACTGCGCGCTGCTCATTCGAGCCACCGCGGCTTGCCAGCCAGGGGCGAAGCTAACCAACATTTCCGCGCTGGAGTAGGCCTTGGCTTCGACGCGGGCCAGAAGCTGCGCCACCTGGTACGGCAGGCCGAGCCCTCGCTACGCGAGGGCGGTCTTCGGCTTGCGCGCGCCCTCGCGCAGCCGAGAGCACACGCACCTCAACAGAGCGTGGCGCCCGAGGGATTGAGGAGGAGGACTATGGGAGGAGGAGGAGGAGGAGGAGGAGGAGGAGGAGGAGGAGGAAAAGGAGGAGGAGGAGGAGGAAGAGGAGGAGGAGGAGGAGGAAGAGGAAGAGGAATAAGATGAGAAGGAGGAGAGTGTGTGCACGTGTTGCAGCAGTGGGGCGTGGTGCTCCAAGGACTTAGAGGACATTGATTATGATGGTGATGATGGTGATGCTGATGAGGAGGGGGATGATGATGATGATGATGATGATGATGATGATGATGATGATGATGATGATGAGGAGGAGGAGGAGGAGGAGGAGGAGGAGGAGGAGGAGGAGGAGGAGGCGTAGCGAGGAGGAGAAGCGAGAAGGCGCGGCGAGGAGGAGGAAGGAGAGGACAATATTGGAGCTGGAGGACAAGGGAAAGAGAGAGGAGGAGAAGAAGGAGGACGGAAGGATAGGATGGAGGATCGCAGAAGCGAGGAGGATCAGGAGTTGTAGAACAAGTTGGATCATGAGGGAGGGAACGACCTGCGCTTGGCGCCAGAGTTCAGGCGCCAGACGCGCCTGGTGGAGGGTGGGAGGGGAGTAGGACGGGATGAGGGGTACGAGGAGGAGCACGGATGAGAAGGAGGGGCACGAGGAGGAGAAGGAGGAACAGGACCACGTGAGGAGGAGGAGGGTCATGACGAGGAGGAGAAGGAGGAGGAGGAGGAGGATCGAGGATCGAGGTTCGAGGATCGAGGATCGAGGACCGAGGAGGAGCAGGAGGAGGAGGAGGAGGAGGAGGAGGAAGAGGAGGAGCAGCAGGACAACGCGATGCTTGGTCGCACGCAGCGCGCCCCTCGTGGCATCGATCCGTCCTTTCCATGTCGTTGCCGTCGTTCTCCCCCTTCTCATCCACGACCTTTTCCCACCATCGTCCTCTCAATCCCCCTCCGCCTCCTCCTCACAAAAAAATCACCCGCGCCATCCTCTTTCCGCCTCCCCCTCCCTCTCCCTGTAGCCCTCGCAATCCTCTGTCCTCATCCGCCCCATATCCTCATCAGCATCGGCGTCGTCGGCCTCATCCCCGCCGTCATTCGTCATCACGATCATCAACATCCTCCTCCTCCTCCTGCTCCTCCTCCTCGTCCTCCGCATTACCACTACCAGCATCATCATTATCATCATAGCTGACACGGGCATCATCAGCATTGTCGTTATCATCCTCCTCCTTCGCATACTCCTTATCCTAACCATCCTCCTCGTCGTCATCATCATCCCCACCATCACCACCACCGTCATCACCACCATCATCAGCATATGTATCAGCATCACCACCATCATCTTCACCATCATCAGCATCGTCATCATCGGAATCATTATCAACAGCATCAGAATCATCCTCGTCATCGTCATCGCCATCGTCCTCAGCACTATCATTCTCCGCATCGTCATCCGCATCACCAACAGAATACACCTCGTCGTCATCATCGTCATTATCGCCATCAGTATCACATCAGCGGCATCATCAGCAACATTCGCATCATCGTAGTCTTCGCATTTTTTACACCAACAGCAGTATCAACATCATTGTTACCAACCTCATCAGCATCAGCAGCATCAGCCCCACCAGCATCATCATCACCGTCACTATCATCATCACCACCACCATCATCATCATCATCATCAGCATCGCCATCACCATCATCAACACTTTTACCAGCATCATCATCAACGTCGTCATCGTCATCAGCAGCAGCATCAGCATCATCAGAATCGCCATCACCATCACCATCATCGTCATTCTCATCAGCGCCTTCTTCGTCATCACCATCATCATCATCACCATCATCATCATCATCATCATCATCATCATCATCATCATCATCATTACCCTTATCGTCGTAATAATCATCATCATTAACCCCATCCTGATCACGATCACCATCATAGTCATCTCCATCCTCATCCTCATCATCCTCATCCCCATCATCATCACCATCATCATCATCGGCATTATCATCATCAACACCATCATCGCTGCCCTCGCCCTCATCGTCTTGTTCCTGTTGTCGACCAAGCCGGGCACCGCGCGGCAGCGCGGGGCCAAGCCGGGCGCCCCGCCTCAGGACCCGACGGGGATCCACGACGCGACGGAGATCCAGGCCGTGCAGGCCCTGAACGACCCCATGCTGGTGCCTAAGGATGGCGCTCCTCCTGCTGCGCCTCCTTCTCCTCCTCGTCCTCCCCCGTCCTGGTCCTCATCTCCACGCCCCTCGTCGTCCTGATCACACTCCGCCGCGCTCCTCCTGCTCCTGGCCCTCCTCGCCGACCTCCTCCGCTGCCCCCCTTCGCCTCCTACTCTTCACGCCCATCTGCCGCTCCTGCTGCCCCTCCTCGTTTGCCCTCTGGTCCTCTTCCGTTATTCTCATGATTCGCCTTCTCCCTCTTGCTTACCCGTCCTCCGTCACCCCCTCTTCCTCCTCCGAAAGCTCTTTTCGATGTCGCTCTGACTCGTCAACACATTTCCTCCGCGTTCCCTTCCTCGTCCACTTCGTCCCGCTTTCCCCTCTTCTTAGTCCTCGCCTTTTCCTGGTTCTGCTCGTCATCATCGCGTGCCCACGTGCCCACTCCAGGGCAGGATTACTTGTCGAGGACCGTGTCAGAGAATTTGGGATACGATCAACGGCTTCGTCCCCTCCTTGCCATCAACCCCAAGTTACGTCTCCTCATACCCCCTCTCGTGGAGGAAGGTCGTGGAACGTCGCGGAAGGCGAGTTGAGAACGAACGTAACCCCATGCCCCCGAGAATAAACCCCCAGGGATAATAAAGTTCGGCGGTTACGGGGTGATAATAAAAGTTGTCCACCAGAGGCCAGCATAAAGATGTTAACAGAGGAGCCACAGCCGAGGATATCTTGAGACATCCTTGGCTGTTGGTCCTCTCTGAAACATCCTCAACCGATTTCGATAGATTTTTGGGTTCCCTATAGATTTCTCTACATCCCCATAGATTTTTCTACATCCCTATAGATTTCTATATGAATACTTACAGATGTCGATCGATTCCTTTGGGTTTCTTTACATCTATGAGCTTGTTATTATTTATTATAGAAATGAATTGACGCTTGCGTCGGCCCCATTAACGAGTCCCATGGATAGTAAACTCCAGCGATAACCAAGTTCAGGGGGGCAGGGGGAGGAGAAGAAAGATAGATATATAAAATAGAAAGATAGACAGAGAAGAGGAGGTAGAGGAGGAAGAGGAGGAGGAGGAGGAAGAGGAGAAACAGCAAGAGGAGGAGAGGAGAAGGAGATAGCAAAAATCCAATGTTCAAAACGTATGAGATTCAATTTGTAAACGCTTAATGAGAATTAACATGTTCATCTGCTCGTGTAGGGTAGCTCATCTGCCTCGGTTTCCTTGGATAATAAAGCACAGCGATAAACAAGTTCAGGGGCCACGAGGAGGAGGAGAAAGACACATTGATCGTTTCGTTTGAGGCTGCCTCCCGAAATTATTGGTTTCGCTTGAGACATCCTGAAAAACGTGTTCGCTTCGCGTGGTGTTGTTATCTCAACATAAGAAGGAAGTAACCTCGATGGCGAACTTTTCCCCGTGATAATGAAGTTCGGCCTCCGCGCCCCGCGCCCACAAGCAAACGCCACTTGGCCATCGATAATCAACTCTTATGTGTATAGGGGGGGAGTACTTTATTATCGTGGGTATGCGGTTATTCAGCTCAGCTAATGCGACAAGAGGCCTTAATTCGTTCAGACGAGGGCTCGACATGCAGCGACGGACGACGAGGAGGAGGAGGAGGAGGACGGGACTAATGAGGATGACAAGGATCAGGTTGAACATGTGAATGAGTCAGTAGGAGGAGCAATCAAGCTAGCCAGCTCGAACAGGTCAGCGGGCCCAGGTAGGCGTTTTCTTTACTCCGGGTTTCGACATGTAGCCGAAGGGTGTGGGACGAGTGGGGGTCTGGGTCTGGGTCGGTGCTTGGTCGATCTGCTGCTAGCAGTCGCGCAGAGCAGACCGAGGGCCCTGACCAGCCGCTGACATCAGCCGCCCCAAGCAGCCAACATGTGGTATACCGGGGGGAAGGACGGGGGCAGGGGCCCGCGCCGACCCGCGAAACAGTCCATCAAACACGGCGACGCGGAGCTCACTCCCGCCCGCCCTCCTGCGGTGGAGGCGTTTGTTCAGGAATAGTCCCAGGAGGCGCCAGACCCGGGAGGATTCCTCATCCACTGGGGGCGGCGGTGCTATCCGTGGGCCGGTCCACGATCAGAGTTCCACTTGGCTTGCAGGCCCTGGACTCCTTACCCAAGGGGTCCTTGCCCAACGCCCAGCCTCCTATCACAGGAGCCCCAGAGCGAGGCCGGCCTCCTCCTCACCCGCCACATGGCGAGGACGGCGGCCCCCGGCCTGGGAGCGCTGCCGCAGCGAGCGCCCGGCACTCCTCGCGGCAGGCGGGAGCTCCCGTCTTCAGTGTCGCCACCTCCTCGCCACGACGTGGCTCGTAGTGCTCGGCGCGCGCGCCGACCGCCTTCAACATCAAGCAGGCAAAACCCTTCACCTCAAGATCAAACAAACGAACAGCTCAAGCAGATCAAGCAAACACATCAAGCATCGACACATCGACACCTCAAGCAGACGAGCATCGACACAGCCACGCACCAAACAAACAAGCACACAAAACAAGCGCAGCAGACAATGAGAGCCGCTGCTGGCGCCAGCGGTCCTTGAGCCCGGCGCGCGCGTTCGCGCGCGCCGCCCCGCTGCCGGCGGCTCGGCGGGTGGAAGCCGTGGGCCGCGCACGGGCGGAGCAGCCGAGCTCTCCGCGGGCCACCGCGCGGGGCCCCGCGTCGGCGGCGCGCCCCCCCACGGGTGGGGGGGGCCGGTCTGGCGCTCCTCTCGGCGAGACGTGAGAAGGGCCTCTCGCCGGAGAGACCTTTGGTGCGGGCACGGATGGGCCCCCAGATTCGGGGGAGCGCAAGACCCGGGTTTGCCAGGACTCGGGCTCGCCATCGTTTTCTGACGGCCGCGGCTCGGATTTTGACGAGGGGGAGTTTGTGGGGTGTCTGCAGCGGGAGGCCTCGTCAGAATGCAGGCTCGGCCTCGTCATTTTTGTTGACGGCCTCGTCGGGGATTTTTCCGAGTCCCCCGTGCCCGGGCCTCACGTCTCCCCGACAGGTGGCTGGAAACGAAGCAGGAACAGCGGCTTGCGGGCCCAGGTTCGGTCCCCACGCGGCCCCCAGGAAGCCGCGCACCAGAGGTCACGCTTAGCCAGGGTCACTCTTGCGTGTAGCCGAGCTCCTCCGCGAGCGGCCAGGCAGGGCGAGCGGCGGCGAGCGGCGGCGAGCGGCGGGGGGCGCGGGCGATTCTTCTCCCCCCCCACCCCCGACTCGTCGACGGAGAAGGGGCCGCTCAGAAAAGGAGGGAAGCTCTGGGATACACCCCGAGGAGGCTGTTCGGATGCACCCCTGTCGAAGATTGACGCCCCCCAGGGTCGGGCCCGACACGTCGGGTCCAGTCGAAAACCTTCCAGAGCCTGGGATAGGAGTCGACGTATCCCCTGTTGTGCAGCGGCAGGCAGGTGGGGGGGGGCGCGTGTATTGTTTCCCCGGCGAGGACCCTTGAGGAACATCCTGGATCATCGAGCGAACAAAAAAAAACGCACGCACGACACCGAAGCAAAAGCACGGGAAGTAGACGCCCGAGCGACGGCCAGGGCACGGCGGGCGAGCGGCGGCGAGCGGCGGGGGGCGCCTGCAGCGGCAGGCGGCGGGGGGGGGGGGCGCGGCACGTGGCAGCGCAGGCCCGCACGGGGCAGCGGGGGCGCGCGCCGGCGGCGAGCCGGCAGTCGGGCACGGCCCCCCTGCAGGAGGAGTGGTCGACGATGGGCCACAGTCGGGGGAGCGTAAGACCCGGGTTTGCCAGGACTCGGGTTCGCCATCGTTTTTTGACGACCGCGACTCGGATTTTGACGAGGAGGAGTTTCGTGGGATGTCTGCAGCGGGAGGCCTCGTCAAAATGCAGGCTCGGCCTCGTCATTTTTTTGACGACCTCGTCGGGGATTTCCGAGTCCCCCGTACCCAGGTCTTACGTCTCCCCGACACAGAGGGTGCGGGGGGGCGGTGTCTCGGCTGTGTGTGTTGGCCACTCTGAGTGTGTGTTGTCTGGGCGATGCGTAGTTGGTCGCGCAGCAGCCGCCCGTCGGAGGACACGCCCCCCACCCAGGAGAAGGGGCGGGCGGCCTTCTCAGAAGGCTCGGAAGGCCTCTCCGCCCTCCGAGCACGTTGCGGTGCCCTCCCCAGAGGACGCAGGTCAGACTTTTCTCGGAAGGCCCGAGGGCCTCCGAGGAGCCCTGCCGCCTCTGAGAAGGCTGGACGATAAGGGGGGGAGTGGGCAAGGGGGGCTACGAGATCTGCTGCATGCAGCCGGTTTCGGCCCCACCGAGGGGCCCATTCCTCGATACATAGCTGCCTCCGGCGCCTGGAGGCGCCATGAAAATCAGCTACGTGAGCTGATTCTCAAACCCCCCCTTTGCTATCCCCCCTTTTCGCCCGGCCCGATCTGAGAAGGCCTTTTCCTTCTCACTTCCCGCCCTCGCTCGCGGCTGCCGAGGCGACAGCACTGCTCAGCGTGTTCTGGCCGCTTTGGGGCCAACACGCTGCCCACACTCCCACCGCTCTCCCGTGTCCTCGTCCTCCCTCCTCATGGTACCGACATTGTTTCACGAGTTTCGTGGCACTGCGAGTAGCTTCGCAATGCAATCTGGCGTGCGAGCTGTGCGTGACTGTCGGCAGGTGCGTTTCTTCGAGGAAAAACAGTTCAGCTCCTCCGCGCGCAGACGAGTCTCCGGCAGGCACAGGCAGAACGCGCGCCGCGTGCAAGCCGGGGCGAGCAATCTCCCAGCGACGCCAGCGAGCACCGAGAGAGAGAGAGAGAGAGAGAAAGAGAAGGACAGAGACTCCTCGCCATCTCTCTCTCTCTCTCTCGCGCGGCCAGCCCCGCGTCTGACATCTGGGCGAGCGCAGGCAACGAGCCGCGCCCGCGCGGGAGCGTCGGCTTCTCCGGCGGCATCTGCGCGGCGCGTGGGCCAGCCTTCCGCGCCCTGGGGCGCCTGGGCGAGGCCCGCTTTCGGGCGAGATGTCTGCAGCATCCCGCCTGCCCCTGCGAGGCCCCGCGCCC